GATAAAGGAACTATAAAATAACAAATATACAAGACAGAACCAAACAATGGCTGTCTTCCACAAAAGAGCATTTTCAGGTTTAAGGCACCTGGCAGTCTCTTCTCGACAGTCTCCTGTGTTCCTCAGCACCTTTGGTAGCCCAGAACTTTGAACCTCTGCTTCTTAACACAGTCGTTACCCAAAAAAAGAAAGATAAAACACAAGTTTGAAATCTCTTTTGGTTTCTGTGGAACAAAAAGAGCTGAAAGCAGCGGCAGGTCCCGGCCAGTAGCACAGAGCTGTGTGTGGGCAGATTAGAGAGCGTGGGGAGGCATCACTCGAGAGGAGGGGAAGGGGAGCCAGGCACATGCAGATGATGAAAGGATGATGAGCAGCGGAGGAGAGGGGAAGGGGAATGGAGGTGCTGATCACTGAGGGGAGGAGGAACCCAGGGCCAGGGCTCCAGTCCAGATCTGCTCCTCGCTGGGAGCTGCAGCTCCGAGCCCCTCGGGAGAGGCACAGGCTGCAGCAGAGCTGGGAACTGCCTGCAGCATCCCTGGGGAGCTGCCTCAACAGCAGGAAATGCAGATTTATTCATGCTGAGCATTCTGCAATAAATGTGGGTGCTCAGAAAGCCAAAATGTACTAAAAAGATTTTTAAAAAGACAAAAATAATTCTTCATTCCAACATTATCGACATCCAGTATTTCTGAATTTCATTTTGAGATGTCAGGTGCTTTTGCAACATCCTGGGCTTTGTCCATTCTAACATGGCAGCACATTTTGAAAATATAATTGAAATGGCTTCATTCACTTCATTCACTTTGTTTTCCTATATAATGAGTTTATGTCACATCAGGATTGTCAAAAGATGCTCTGATGTGGGAAAAAGACCCCAAAATAATGACTTTTCCTGTAGCTCATGCTTTCCCTGAGATAGGAAGTTCGATTCAAAACATACACTGAATTTAGCTGGGCACCCATTGACTTCAGTGGAGCAGATCTGTGAGGAGATCTTGAAGAATGGAAGGAAAAAACTAATGGCAACAAACTGAAGGAATTCCTCTTTAAACAATGCCCTAGAAACACACAGAAGGATCACTCCGTCCTGCCTTTGATGTACAACTCCCCAAAGCTTGCACTTTGCTGGCACAGGAAAAGCAGAGCTGGGCCCCCAGAGCAGCTGGGGGGCCCAGAGTGTTCCCAGAGCCCTGGGACTGCCCCATCCCACCCTGCTGCCTGCAGGGAATTCACATCTGCCCTGCCAGGACCCTGCCCAGTCCTGCCTTACAACAGCGAATAACCACGGCACTCACTTCTGGCACTTGTCAGCCCTTGGTGGAGTGAAAGCCTGGCTGTGCTGTTTTCTGGAAATATCCATTGCACTTCCCAAGCAAGACCTACTTGGAGCTCAAACTGGAGCAATTTCCTGAGCTGCAAGTCGGTTCTGCACAGAGCTGATCCTGTGTCTCTGCTGGACAAACGTGGGAAGATACAGCAGGCTAGAGCAGAACACATCCAAGGGCAGCATGTACCATTGTCTGGACAGAAAAATAATGGGAACCAGGTTCATATTAGCACTCAGGCTGATTGTAACTTGTGGCTCCCTGAAAACAAAGCTTCTGTAGTGGGGATGCTGATACTTCCTTAACTGTTACACAAACACTGCCACTGAAACAGTTCAGAGCCAGCTCCATCAAGGAGTGTTTTGTAAATGAATAATGACTTTGCTTAAAGCTAATCAACATCAAGTGTGTTAAAAAAGATGAAATAGTGCTGGAAGGCAGTGGGAGGTAGAGGAGCCTCAAAGTGCAAACAGGTGCTGATCTCCCTTCAGGGGGGATTGAGTGGCACAGACCTTACAGGGCTGTCACTTCTGATCAAAGCAAGCTCCAAGACCACATAATCACCATCACCCACCTTTTAAAGGATGCCCTGATTTATCATCTGTCACTGTTAATAACTTGGCTACTCTGTCTGAAATACTTAAAAACATTACACGAGGATAACATTTCCAATTTTTTTTTTTAAGAAACGTGTAAATGTTTTAAACTCAAACGCACTGGAGCTCGTCCTTTGAGGCCATCTGTTGCTGGAGACCACCTGCCATCAAAAGCCCACCTGAGCAGGAATAGCCCATCATTACAGAGCCATCCCCTTGCAGCCAGCGGTGTCCAGGGCTGGGGGGAGCAGGGTGTGTGTCAGACACGGCTGTTCCTGGGCTGTTCCTGCTCTCTGCAGCCACAGGATGACAGCCAGATGTGAATAATGGCTGCATAATAACAGCCACATGAAATTCTGTTTGGGCAAAACCCGATAAGGGATCTGAACATTCCTGGGCTGAGCCCCTCACATCCTCTGAGCCGCGGTGCCTGCACTGCGCTGCTCGGAGTGTCCCAACACGTCAGCTCCAAACCCTGAACTGCTCAGCTTCATAGTTTTGCTGTTTATGAGAAGCATCAGCATTTCACTGAGAAACAAGACTGTTACCACCGTAATTAGAATTTTGTGGGGTTTTGCCCTGAGTCGCATTTTCCCCTGCTGATCTCATACTCTTACCTCATTAATCTCTCCTCAGTAAATCACCCTGTTCTACCAAGCTACCTTTGCCAGAAAAAGGAACTTTCTGCCTTTCTTTTACCTGTTCACAGGCCTGTGGCAAACATCTGGTTCTTGATTTAGTGCATGTACACACCAACAGAATGCATTTCTTGTAGAATTTTTATCTGATAAATGCCACTGGACATTTCTTCCTCAGCAACCTTCCTACGGAGTGCCTGGGTTGTTAAAATAACCACACACAGACACTTTTCCTAAAAAGTCTGAGATAAGCAAATACCTATTGGGCCTTGGCAGTAAAGAAAAATCCTATAAAATTCAACAAATAAAAATACAAACATGTTTTCACTGAAATTTAAAATCATTGTGAAAAATAAAGAAGTGCAATAATTTTGAGATATTGCCTTAATGACTTTTAGTATTATTATCATTTAACTAGTATGAAGCCTTCTAAGACAAGAATACAAATCTCTGCTAATTATTAATAACTATATTAAATTGTTTTGAAAATAAGTGTATCACTTTCCTTTAACAGTAATAAGCTTCCGATTCCTTAAGTAGCAACTTCAGTATTAAACTGTTAAGACTGTTAGGAGTTATGGGACATCCAGAAGTACAATTTCTGAGTTAATTAATTCTTAAGGTGTCCTCAAAGCCAGTCATTACATTCTGCTGCATTTACAGGGTGCTGGTCCTGATATAAAGAATTAGCATCATTATGTACTAGAGGAATCTCATTTGCTTACCAGTAACCCCCCCAAATAATTCCTGAATAACTGCAAGCATGAAATAAAATCTGAATACTTGGTTTACAGTTTAGCAAGGATCTGCTTGTGACACGAGGCCTCCAGCCAAGCATTATTTGTGGTTTTCATAGGAAAAGATGCAGTTCTGCTCTGGTGGCAATGAAGGGCCCAAGCTGACAGGCAATAAATGCAGAATGGCAGCAGGAACTCAGCCACTGCTGAACATCTACCTTCACTCTTTTCCAGAATCCTGGCAGCAGGCTGTAAGAGCTCATCACCAACAATGAAAGCAAATCATGTTCTGAGCCCACAAAGATGGTGAGATGTTCACTTCAGTGACTGATGCACGTTGGAACGAGGCCTGGGACCCTTCCCTGAACAAACCTGTCCTGGGAAAGCCAGCACTGACCCTTCTGCCAGAAGGAATTCAGTGTGGGATGGAATCTCCACCAGAAGGATTCTCCACCATAAGCACGCACCTTCCTGGGGAGGTGACACACACACAGAACACTGAACAGACTGTGCTGCACTGCCTGCAGCACTCTGCAACACACAGGTTATTTTCAAACTCTCTCAGGATGGAATGCCATCGATGCAGCCAGAGCCTGCACAGGTGCACAGGCATTAACTGAGCAGTTGCAGAAGTGCAATGTCCAGTGCAATGTCCAGTGCAATGTTCAGTGCAATGTCCAGTGCAATGTCCAATGCAATGTCCAATGCAATGTCCAATGCAATGTCCAGTGCAATGTCCACTGCAATGTCCAGTGCAATGTTCAGTGCAATGTCCAGTGCAATGTCCAGTGCAATGTTCAGTGCAATGTCCAGTGCAATGTCCAGTGCAATGTCCAGTGCAATGTCCTGCTCTGTGTCCCCTGACAGGATCAGCTCCCAGGGCACCTCAAAGCCCTGTGTCAAACAGTGGCACACTGGCACAAAAGAGCAAAGAGAGATTTTCCTCAAAAGATAAATTGGATATCAAAAGGTGCTTTATCTATGTGCATTTTAGACATGAAGATTATTGATAATACTGCAAGATCATTTCTGTCACTCAAGTTCCTCGTCACTGCTGGGAACACTTCAAGAGTACAAAAGGCAAGAATTTATCTGTCACACTGATAAAAAACCAGACCACCACTAAAGAAGCTTTTGTTGGAAAATTCCCAGCCACAACCTGACTGTCACGAGGATCCCCACTCTCCTGGAGTCCACTGAGACCTGTTCTTTCTGTGCTGAGATCCCTGACAAAGGCATTTCTGGAGCAGCCTGGGTGAGAGGGAGTTCTGTCCCTGCCTCAGCAGCCGAGCACCCTGCCCAGCCAGCGCCTGGAAAAGCTCAGGGAGAACTTCAGCTTCCAACAAAACCACACTCCACTGCAAACTTCACGGAAATGTACTGACAATCGGAGCTTCATCAGGGAGCCTCCCTGAAGCAGCATTCAAAGCCTGCATTGGCACTTCCCCCAAATGGTGATGCTCTGGGTGGCGTTGGAAAGGGGAGATCCCTGGAGGGTAGAGACTGAGCTGTGTTCCAGCTGTGAGAAGTGAGGCAGGATGTTTAACATGCTGAGCACAGCCCATGCAGGTTGGGAAGGGGTGTTAACCGAGGATCACTGCTGTAATCTCAGTGCTTTGTAAACACGGTCCTGCTCCACATCGCTGCAGCTTTTTGCATCGCTAAAGCCCATTCTGTTTTCCCAGTTGCAGAGGCTCGCAGAAGTGCTTCAAAATCCATTTATTTCACTGCACCTCGCAATTTCTTTCGAGTAAAGGACTGTTCTATTCATACTTGCAGGCAAGTATAACAACCATTATATTCAAAGTGTGCTTTTACCAAATGATCCAGGAAACAAGTTTATTAACTGCAAAGCACATCAGAGAAAGTTTAGAACACACATAATTATCAAACTAAAGAACATATTTTATTTTTAATAAAATAGTGGAGCATGAAAAATAATTGTATATTACAAATATATACAGCACAAAACTGTGCACCCCCAGCACAGTAAAGAGTATCACTCTATACAAAGCTTCCCTTTGCAGAATCTAGTGCTTCTTGATCTATTCATAGTGAGAATTTGTTTAACAATAGAAAGAGTCAATAAGCCCTTTGGGTCTCTTTGAATTGATCCCCCCTTTTTTTTTTGCACAAATCAGTCCAAACGTGTATAACATTGGCTTGATTTCCATTAAAAAGCCACAAAATGTAACACTAAAGGGTTTCTGAGGACTAGACCTCTTAGTTCTTTTGTTAAGAGATTTCTTTTGTTGTCTTTATGTACAGCAAAATACTTGTTTCTCTTTTCACGTCACGGTAAGAAAAAAAAATGTATTGCACATTATTCTTATTCACAAAGTTTGTGTCTGGTGCAGGAAGTTTCTCTTTTGGTGAAAGAATATTGGTGAGCATTACAGATTGAGCCTGTTTTTAGGCACTCCAAAGCCTGGGCTGAGAGGAGTTGTGGAGGGTTTGAAAGTTAGCACAGGGGTTGTTTCCCAGAGAGCATCCTCGCTCAGGACAGGACCCCGTGTCCCCGCAGAGACAGCGCTCACTCGGGCACTCCTGAAATCAAACCATAGCTCCATAAAGCTCGGCTATACCTTGTTACTCACACAGCTGATGGAAACCCAGCACTGCTACATGAAAAAGTTAAAGAAGTGTTGGTTGTTGTGTTTGGTTTTGTTTTTATGTTGTTTTTTTTTAATCTGAGGGATGGATGTAATTCTTAACTACGCATTAGTAACAGAACAGACTTTTAATTCACAATATTTCACTGAAAACTTTTCCATGAGTACGTTTACCTTTTGTTTTTCACCAGGTCCTGAATTCAGCATGATACATTTTTGTGCCTTGAGATATTAAACTGTTCTGACAAAAAAAAAAAAAAAAAAAAAAAAAAAAAGCACCATTCATTTTTTAATTTCTGACTGCTACTGTGGACATTTGTAAGTCTGTGAGGTGAGAGACAGTCTCTTCTAAAACCTGGTCACACGCACGTGGGTGGCTGTAATGCTGATTCGTATTTTGCCAGGTGAGCTTTCTGTGGATGTTGAGGTTTTTTGTAGATTCCACTACTCGTAATAACACTCGCGGGTTTTCTCCTGCTTCTCTTCTTTAATCTCCGACTACAAACATTTTGCCAGGACTGAAGAGTCTTGGAAGTCCAGATCCACATGCCGCTAGTAATGCCCACAACTAATAACATAAAAATTTTGACCATAAAAATTTCTACTGCTGGTATAGAGTTATTCATCATGCAGTCTAAATTTTTAGTCTGATTGTTCATCTTGCATTTCTGTTGAGTTGCCACAATCTTCCAATAATCCATGTTCAGCCTCTCGTAAAAATAGCAAGCTATCACACAAGTTGCAGGCACTGTATACAAGACTGAGAAGACACCAATCCTGACCATAAGCTTCTCCAGCTTGTCGGTGTTCTCTCCACCTGTTTTCATCACCCTCCTGATATGAAAAAGGGCCACAAACCCAGAAAGGATAAAGGAAGTGCCAATGATTAGATAACAGGCCAAAGGAATGAGCACAAAGCCCGTCAAGGCGTTCACATCCATGCTGCCAACGTAGCACAGCCCCGTCAGCTCGTCCCCAGCCACCCTCCTCATCACCAGGATCATGATGGTCTTCACGGCAGGGATGGCCCACGCTGCCAGGTGGAAGTAGCTGCTGTTGGCCTCGATGGCCTCGTGCCCCCACTTCTTCCCAGCCGCGAGAAACCACGTCAAGGTCAGGATCACCCACCACAGGGAGCTGGCCATGCCAAAGTAGTAGAGAACCAGGAAGACGATGGTGCAGCCAGTGCTCTCCAGCCCCTCCTGGATGACATAGAGCTGGCCGCTGTCCCTGTCGCAGGCAATGCTTTCGGCACCCGAGAAGAGGCGGATGATGTACCCCACCGAGTAGACACAGTAGCACATGGAGAGGAAGATAATGGGCCTCTCGGGGTACTTGAAACGCTGAGGATCTATGAGAAAAGTGAGCACAGTGAAAGCGCTGGAGAAGAAGCACAGGATGGACCAGATGGCAATCCAAATGACAGCGAACTGTTTGTCATCCCTGCTCCAGTAAACATCAACCCCTGGCGTGCAGAGCGGCGCGCAGGAAGCGCTCTTTTCCACATGGTGGAACTTGCCAGGGTTTTCACAGGACGCTCTGCTCAGGCTGTCCTTGTGCTGCTGCAGCTCGTGGCCGCTGCTGGGCCGCTGGGGACGGAACATGGGCGGCAGCATGCTGGAGCCCCTGGGCGGCTCATCCGAGCCGTTGTTGGGGGCTTCCATGCACAGGTAATTGGGGTCGTTCTTGTTGGGCAGTTTGCTGCAGTCCAAGGAGTCCGGCCACTTGAAATTGAACTGTTCCATAATCGGGGAGCACTTCAGCCTCGCCTGCTCGCACATCACCCTGCAGGCTGGGATCGGGGTAGAAACCTGCTCCGTGCACATCGGGGCATAGAGGGAGCACAGGAAAAATTTCAGATGGCTGTGGCACCCGTACTCCACCAAGGGGGCAAACTCGTGCAGCTGAATGGCAGCTTCCCTTTGGTTTTCGTGCCCCATCAGGTTCGGCATCCTCGTCATGTTGTAGCCGATGTCCTTGCACATGGGGATCTCGATGGGCTGGCACCTCCCGTCGCCGGGGCGGTCGATGTCCATGGAGCTGATGGCAGCGCAGCAGGCGCTGAGCCAGCAGAGCAGCAGCGCGGTGCTGCCGGCCGCCGGCCCCATGCNAAAAAAAAAAGCTAAACCCAAGAAGAAGAAGAAAAAAAACCTGTGCAGGATCCGCCTCGCATACGACATCCACTTTGCATGAGAAAGGTGAAGCTGACACGGTGATTACTTTCCAATCACTCGGAACGCCTTGAAACCTCCTTAAGGACCCCTACAGGTTCTCCTTGATCGGCACAGATTAGAAAAAAGCCCCATTTGTTTCTCTCTCCTTCTCTTTTTCCTTCCTTTCTGCTTTCCCTCCCGTTGCCCTCTCTTGAAAGTTTAACAAGATCTTTTCTGTAGAAGGCGTCAGCCTGCCCTCCCCGCTCAGGTAGGAAGCCAGGGAGAGCCAAGGCTTCAGACTTCGTGTCTCCTAATAAGAGGGTTGAAGGTGGTGCCTCCTTGACTGCCTTGATTGGAGGGGGGGCAAAGCTTTAGCAGGGAGGATGTGGGGAGGAGGATGCATTTTATGGCGAGTGCTGTAAACTCTTCGCTGCCAGGGTCATAAAATATGGTTGTTTTCAGCCTGGAGTCTCAGCTTTTTTCTAATGCGTGCTTTGTCTCGAATTCCTAAATGAACAGGACAGGCAGGATCGCTGGAAAAGTACCTGATTATGGTTTTAATCACAGTACGGCATCACTCGAAAAGTAGCTCGCTTTCTTTTTCCCTCTTCCTTAAATAAGAAATGCTTAGAGGACGAGAGACATACCCTTGGGGAAGTTTCTTCATCCACTACAGACAAGATACTTAGAGATTTTTGGAGACGGGAATCTTTGTAAACCGAGTTGTGTTTACTTTCAAAGTTGGGCTTTGAGCTTTATTTTGGTTACTGGTCTCTCAGAGCTAGAGAAGGAGGGAGTTTAATCCCCAGCCAAACTACAGCTCGCACTTTCACAGACGGAAAAGGAGCGCAGCGAGCAGAAGTCAAAGACTAGCTCTGCTCCCCGCCCCCCTTCGAGCTCAGTTTTAGCGAACATATTAATGAAGAAGGAAAATCTCTCTTTCATTTCATTCATGCTCCTCTCCATTAGTGCCTGTTTCTTATCGAAAAGAGCACGGATTCTCCTGGAAACTCCCAAATCCCGCAGGGTCAGAGTTAATACCCCACCGGCTCTAGAAAGGAAACTGTTGGCTTCCTCAGCTGTGATAAGGGTGAAATGGATCCAAGCAAGGACAACAAACCAGGGCTAATGTTTGTCTCTGCAAGCCCCGAAGATGAGGCCAGCTCTTGCCAAGGAGTGAAAGGCATCATAAAAAGGTGCCTTGGAAAGCCAGGTCCTTTTTGTGGCTGTCCAGTGCACGGAGCAGATGATATTTATAAAGCACTGGTCTTGGGCACCGAGCTCCGCTTGGACACTTGCAGATTCCTCAGGGAATGTTTCAAAAGCCGGCAGTGTTATGAGCAGAAAAAGAGCTTTATTTATTTTAGTGTCTGTGTGTGTGAGAGAGAGGGTGTGCTGGGGCATTTCCATTCTTCATTAATCTAAGCCTGTTTTCTTAGTATTTGTATTCATCCTGATTCCTCTTCTGGAGAGCTCAGCTGGGGGTGGCAGGGAAGTGTGGGGAAAGCTTTTTCAGGGGACAAGTAAATTCTACTTTAAAAAGTAGAATTTAAATAATAATAAAAAAGTAGAATTTAAATAATGCATAACAGGCACATATTCAATGTTTGTTTTATCCAACTGGATTGTTTGGGAACTTGTTTTTCTTTCTTTTTTTTTTTTTTCCAACAAGTATTTTTGTAAAGCATATTCTATCACTATTGACATTAAAGTAATCTAGAAAAAATACATGATATAAAACGTGGCCTTTTTCTTCTGTAACACTGATACCAACCTTTTTCTTCTAAGAGGCAGAAAAGAAACACAAATGAAAGTGAGAAAAAAAAAAAACAAAACGGGGGGAACTTCCAACCTTTGTGGTTGTGTCTCTGTTAATTGATCTTTCATGTGCCAATTTAAATCAGCCTTGTTTTTCTAGCTATTATTTTAGCCAGTGCATCCTGCTTTAGATCATTTATTTTACTTTCTATATTTTTAAAGAGCTATCTACAAGTATCACCCGTTCAACGAGCCTGAGTCAGTGAGAGTAACAAACAGAACATTATTACAGAAAAACGAGAGCGCTGAGAAATCAGCAACTGGAAGATACCTCTGTAACTAATAAATGAAAAGAACCTTTTGAAGGCTCCAGCTGAAAAGATATTTTATTTTATTTTTTTCTCCTGTGTGTGGGATTTGAGATGTGTGATTCTATGGAGCAGCCAGGCACCCCTGCTGCTAGGCCCTGGCTAGGAGTTGGCCCCCCTCTGGCAAATGTTATGGAGAATTGGGAGGAATTTTATGGCTGTCTTTTCCCTCAGCTCTTTTTTCTTTTGTCTTCTTTGAAGAATGACTTTAGACATTTTATTTACATATTTAACCATGGATGAAAGAGGAAAAAGAAAGCATTTGGGCCGTTGTGGGAATAGTGATATGTTTAAATTAATGGAAATCTTATTAGGCTTCTAAAATTTTAAGCAAAAGATTTTTAATGAAACTTTATAATTAAACATGATTTCAAATAATGTGCCAACTCACAGGAAGGATGCATTTCTCCCTCTAGCTATCCATCTCCCCACCTCCCAAAAATGTGCAGAGGAATAATCTCTATCTTGAAGTCCAGCTCTTCTTCTGTCCCGTGAGGAAAATATTTTAAAACTGGAATATTTAATAAGGCACGCGATAATTCAAACCATAACTAAATATTTTGTAGGTAAAGCAAACCATAAACGAGCCAGGAAAAAAAACCCCACCAGCCCTCGTCCCTGCAATGGCAAAGTTTCATGCTGGATAATCTATTACAGTGGCAGTGGAATAAAACACTTTGATATGGCTGATGGTGAAAATCAAAGTTGCATCCATTCTATCCATGTTAGAGTGGTTGGAAATTACAGAGCCAGGCAAGGCTTTCTGAAATGGGATTAAAGAAGACCCAAATAATCCATTTGAGAGAAAATGTTCTGACACTTCAGCAGTAAAGAGAAATGAAACGAGCAGCTCGGGGAGTTGAAGAGTTAATTAGTACATTAAAGATTTTTAGTCTAAATGACTAATGAGGAACAATGGTGTGTCACGACAGAACGTGAACCGATACTGACAATCCTATATTTGAGAAGTTTGTAGCTATAACTGATTTTCAGGTTTAATATTTCTGGCCAGCCATTTATTACACAAAAAAATAGAGACCAGTTTAAGGTTAATCCCATTCAATAATCCTATTTTCATCTATATTTTTACACATTCATTCACTTTTTAACTCACACTTTTCATTCCAGCAATGAATTCTATTTATGTATTAAAAACACAGATATTAAATCATCTATATTAAAAAGCTGTTAGCCATACAGATAACAACTGTGAAAGCAAAGGATGCCACACACAAAAAGAAAGCTGATAGCTATTCTAGCTATGTTATAAGCCTGTGTTTCTTACTGAATTTCCACTAGATATTAATAAAATTAAATGGCATGCAGAGAAATGTTTATTTTCTAAACCAAAAGGGTTTATTTTTTCCTAGCTACAGAATCTTTGTAGCGGTTTTCCTCCAAAATTTAAGTAAACACGTCTGCCTAATAGGACAGGCACACTGAGGAATATTCCCATGCAAGTGCGAATCTGCACAATGCACAAAAGTTTTAATTGCCTTAGAAAGCCACCACCACCAAGAGTTAAAAGAATTAAAAACAAAAACAAATCATAAATGGATGAGTGGGTTGTATAGTATTGCTCTAATACAATTTAGCTGGCTATTTTAAGGGCACTTCCCTTGAAATGTGGTTTGAAATATTACCAAAGGTTCGACGGGGTGCATTAGTGTGAATTGCAAATCAGAACATTTCTTTAATCCCCTTTTCATGGCCTGGCTTCGGATCAGTGGCATCTAAGGGACTCCCCACTGCTTCTGGCTCAGGAGGAACCATTCACTGGGGCAGCTTCCCTCCTCTATTCCCACAGTCCAGAAAACAACACCACAGACAGACACCCTCCAACTAAATTAGATTAAACTCCTTCTCTTCCACAGCACATTAGCCTTTTCACTGCCCAAGACTCATTATTCAGCTACTCCTAATTTAAAGATACAGTATTTTTCTGCTCTTAGGAACAAAAACAACGAACAAAAATAAAACCAAAGCAGGGAAAAAAGGGAAAATTCCTTGTCAGAAATAAACCTGATAATGCTAAAATTACGTAAAGGCAGGAGAATATCCTTTTCACTTATACTCTAATTTCTAGGAATATTATCATTTTAAAGCACGGGTCACTGCAGAAAGTTCTACAGACATTAAAAACAAGAACAGGCTCAGTAGAAAAAGGAAATGCACTCAGATTTTTTCTTATAAACACCATTTGATAACCTTCATTCACCAGTCTTTCTGCATGTGCTGTTTGCAGCCTTGCAAGGGCATAAACACAGTGAAAACTGCAGATGATAGCAAGGATTAATTTGTTCTCTTGTCACTTCCTCCCTTATTTCCATCCACAACTTCTCCACTCCTCCTTGTCAAGGTAAAACCGGTGTTTTAAAGGCAGTGTCACTGGTGTCACTGGTGTCACTGGTGTCACTGGTGTCACTGGTGTCACTGGTGTCTGGGTCTGCAGGTGCTCAGCAGCACAAACCCCAGCAGCCGGGAGCTCTGCTGGCATCTCTGGCTGCCCTGGCAGCAAGTCCCACTGCTGGGCACCACTGCACACAGCCCACAGCACCTGGAGGAGCAAAAGGAGAGCCCTGATGCTCCCTGACCAGTCATGTTCTCTGATTTAGGAAGAAATGGCCCACTCTGCTACAGGAGAGTCTCTCCTCCTGCCAGCCGTGGGTGCCAGGAGGCCGAGGCACCGTGGTTTGTGCCAGCAGCAGGGCAGGGACTGTCCCTCGCTGCCACAGCCCAGAGCCCAGGCTCAGCTTTGGGCTCCTCAGCACAGGGAACACCCCGAGGGGCTGGAGCCTCACAGAGAGCACAAAGCTGGTGAGGAGCTCCT